TCAAGTTCATGTCACAATGATCTGTTTTGCCTTCACTTCTTTGTTCAAAGCACGCTATGATCGCATAACTAGAAGGCATTTCTTACGGTGCTATTTTTGTTGAAAACTAACATCCAAGGAGGGGCAGGAGTCAGGTGAACTTTCCGCACTCCGGAGATCATGCTGATAGCCTTGACATTGTAGACTGTAGCACTGACTCTATTCCTGCTCTGCTACATCCATTCCTCAGGGCTTCCTACTGCGCAAGGAGTCAGAGTCAACTCCTTACACGGAGAGTCGAGGTCCACAAACATCGCCCCCATTCCTGATGCGCTGCCCCGTCAAAACCACGCACTGGACTTGCCCTCTGCCTCCAGACCACACTCATCTGTCTGGAAGGTGCTTCACCTGTCTCACCTTCTTATACCTTCCACAATCACCTAGCACATGGCGTTCATACTTAAACAAACAAAAAGATGTAGACTGAAGAGAAGGTGAAAGAAGAGGCTGGTTGAGAATAACTGTGTATAATCGAGAGTAATTTGAATCAATACACGACAGAAGGAAACATACAGTAGGAGTTTAATAGGGCTTTATTTCCAATAAATCTCAGAGTAAGCCATAGTTAAATAAACCCTTCTTGTCGTTAGGTACCCTGCAGTCAGTTCCTCACAGCAACCCCATGGGACCGAGTAGACAGAACTGCTGCAAAGGGTTTTCTTGGATGTCATTTGTGTGCAAGTAGATCACCAGGTCTCTCTCCTACACAGCTGCTAAGCGGTTTTGAACCACCAACCTTTCCGTTAGCAGCTGAGCTCTTAGCTCATGTGTCACTAGGGCTCCTGATTCGCCCATTATGTCTATACATATATCTTGGGCAAGAGGGCTTTGGCTGTCACGGGCAAGATGTTATTTTTAATTAATTGCCTTTCATAGAACCTGAGACCAGGAGACAACCTAAACGATTTCCCTGTTCCGAAGCTAGCCTCCTTCCTCTGAACTCTAGACTCTGTGGCCCGAGAGACTGCTCTTTCCCAGCTCGCACATGCAACTAGAGATAAAGTGAGATGGGAGAAAGGTACCCTATGAGGCCTCCCCCACAAAAGGGCAAACGCATTGCACGGGACAGCAGTCATGAAAGCAGCCGTGAGGGGCAGGAGGACGGCGCACACATACCTTGTCAAAGCAGACAAGGTTCAGTTGCCCACACACATTAATCCTCTGGGGGCTAATGCAGAAGATGCCTCTCTTCTGTAATCTCCTCTGGGCGTAGATGATGCCCGTGGTCAGAGCAGCGGGGAGCGCAGGGGGAACGGCGATTGTGATGGCGTCCAGGGCTTTCTTCACCACCTCCTCAGGCGGCTCCTGGACAAGGAAGTCATTCTGCAGCTATTCCACACAAACCCCACACGAACTGCTTTGTGCAGACGACGTTCCCCCTTCTTTTCTGGTGATTCCTTGAGGTCAAGTTCCTAGAAATGCTATCAGTGGGCTGCTGACATACTCATGGCTCTCAATAGAGTTGACCAAAGTACGTGAGATAAGATTATAACAATTCCAACTACTACCAGGGGCGAGCAGGATGACGTTTTTGTCAACAACGTTGCCAACATTGGATACGTAGATTAGATTTTAAATCTCTCTCTCTCTCTGCCTACAATGTCCTTCACCTTATCTTACTTTCTTACATCCTTCACAATCACCTAGAATGTGTGTGTCC